CCTGCTTCTCCCTCTGCCTGCTGCTTCTCCTGCTTGTGCATACATAAAATCTTTTTTTAAAAAGAAATTTTTGATAAAATTGGTGATAGACACTGGTATAGGTAAGGGTCGAGTTGCTCAGTTTCAGTGAGCAGGTATAGAGCTCAGTTGGAAGCCCACTGAATATGGAGTCAGTGATAAAGATATACAAAGAAAAGGAATGAAAAAGGAAAAGATGGGTAGAGATTCATTCAAATTACTCCATCTATCAGTATTTATTGGGCACTATCTGTCCCAGTACATACTAGAGGACACACTGGTTTGATTCAATGTGATAAAATGTAGAGGAAAGAGCAAAGCAGGATCAGAAACTGAAAAAATTTAGAAGAAACAGGACTGAAGAAGGCTCTCCATAGGATATGTGTAAGGGCCTGGCCTTCTCTCTGAAGCATCTGTGTGAGTGATTTGTGGTATGTGTTAGGGAAAAGGATTACAGGAAGTTTCACACTAGAGAGACCTGGAGAGAATTTGACTCTGTTGCCAAGTTTTCAGAGTCAAAAAGGGCAAAGCTAATGTTTTCTACTGATGCAGGTCATCAGATGTCATCCAGAAATGGAGAGCAGCTTTGATTTAAAAAAAAGAAAAAGAAAGAAAGAAAGAAAGAAAGAAAGAAAGAAAGAAAGAAAGAAAGAAAGAAAGAAAAAGAACAAATGAACAATTATGTAAAAATTAGCTCCTTGAGGGTGAATTTCTGGAACGTGGTAAGGTTTAGAAAAACTGATAGAAAATATAAACAAAACAAATTATCTTGGGCTTGGGGGATGTGGATGGTGGAGATGGGTGCTGTGTATTCAGCTAGTAGTTGAACCAGAACTCTTTGTCCAGTGAATTACTGTTTTCTCCATCAAAGATGAACTGTCAGCCAGACCTGCAAAGGGTTCAAGGAGCCCAACGGTCCCAAGAAGAAATTTGCCCACTATACCGTCTTTGTCTCAAAGTCTCTCTTCTACTGTTGTCTACAGGGTTGCATTTCTTTGTCTGTGGGTCAGGGTGTGGCTGGGGCCTGGACGCTGGAATCAGAAGAGACATTCCTGACTCCCACACAGCCATGTTCCTTCCCTTTCTTTTGGTGGCAGAACTCTAGGGGACCAAATCCCAGGCTGGCATTTCTGGCCTTGCCTAAAACTCTCTGTGCCGTTCTAAAAAACAATATCACTGTTATATAAGTGATATAAGTCAAGCCAGGAACATGCAGCCCAAGGAAGAAGTACATTTTATGTTTTGATTTTTTCTTTTCTCTTGGCAAAGACTTGTTGTTCCCATCCCTGCTAGGGCAGAACTGAAGTCCACTTGGTGTGGAATGGGGAGGGGACCATCCTGCTTGACCACATTTGAGCCTGGTGCCTGTTCCAGATACCCTGCTGGTTACAGAGAAGCCACTGTGGGAAAACACAGTGTGGGTAAGCCTGGGCTTGCACAAAGGAGGTGCTCCAGCCCCCACACCAGCTCCCATGAGATTTTTAGCCAGGGTCAGATCTCCTTAGTGACCTGGATTATAGATTTGATGAGACCTCACTGGATCACACGGTGCATAAAGGCCTGAGTTAGGGGTGAGTCTAAATTGAGGGAATAGTTTTTGCCTAGTAGAGGTTACATGTATTATTGAACAGGTTATGAAACAGGTTATGGGACAAACCGTCTTCCAACCACCCAGGCTGGAAAAATTAGAGTCATTTAAAAATTTCTCCCCATCCTTTATGCCCTAGATAGAAGCAGTCTCCAAATCCCAGTCAAGGATCCCAGTGGTCCCAAGAAGAAATGTGCCCACTGTTCCTTCTTTGTCTCAAAGTCTCTCTTCTACTGTTGTCTACAGGGTTGCATTTCCTTGTCTGTGGGGCAGGGTGTGCTTGGGGTCTGGAGGCTGGAATCAGGTTACATGTATTTCTTTAAGACCAATCCCTCCCAGTGATTCCTACTTTTCCTTTCCATGCCCTGCCGTCTCCATTGCATAGCTCATGGGCTGGGAGGCAGCTGGAGGAAGCTGAGTATGGACTCTGGAGAAAGACATTTGGGATGTGCATTTTGGCTCTGTAATGTGACTTGGACAAACTAAACTCTCTGCCCCACAAGTTATTCTTAGAAAATGGGATTGATAACACTCCTTACTTTGCAGGAATGTGAGGATTAAATGAAATGCATTTATAAAAATGCAGGTGACTAAACAGTATAGTCCCAATTGTTCTTTTAGATGAGGCGATTAGTAGACAAATGTTTATAAGGATATGCACCAAAATGTTAATGATGTTTTTATATTGGGGTGGTGGGATTTATGGTTTTTTTTTTTAACTTGCATGTTTGTGCTTTCCTATATTTTTAAAATCTCCACAATGAAAACGTATTACTTTTGTACTAAAAATCATACATATGAATTAAAATTCCACCAAACCTTTAAGAACCAGCTGAGATGATACTGGTTTTATTAAAACTTTCCAGATGTTCCTGTTGACAGAGATCCTTTTCTGAGCAAGTTACTGAATCACTTTGAGAGGGAGATGCTCATCTGCAAAATGAGATGTAATAAACTTCAAATGGAAATTATATATACACTATTAAGTATTTGTAATATGCATCTTATAAATATACTCACACATACACACTATTCTCTCTCCCTCCTTCTCTCTCTGGGATTTAGACATGCCCGAGCAATAGAAAGTGCTTAATAAATGCACTTTTCTTTTTCTGAATACCAGAAACACTTTGTACCCCTCTTATAGCATTTACTGTATTTTGCTTTGTATTATGGTTATTTGTGAACTTTCTATATCTGCTACTAGATTATAAGCCCAGTGAAGGCAACAGCTACTGTGTTCTATTCATCTTTGACCACACAGGGTTTAATGTCTCTTTCACTGTAGCTGCTAAATATCCTCATCGAATGACTGAATGCCTAGGTAAAGGAAGAGGCCCTAGAAGTATAAAGGCATACCCCTTTAGGGTTTCAGTTATGCACTGTCTGATGCTGGGCCTGCCAGTGTAGTTGCTCAACAAATGTTTGTTGATTGGGTGGGCACACGCAGCAGCAAGGACCCAGTGTTCTAGTGAGGGAAGCCAGAGCCTGGGTGAGTATGCCTGGCCCACTGATGGTGCCGCAGGTGTCTGTGAGGAGGTTCGTTCTTTGAAGTGGATGGACTTTGAAACTCAGACAGCTGTCCAGGGCCAATCCCTCCCACTGCAGGACCTGCCTCTGATTGCTAAGGACAGGGGAGAGGGGACTGCAACTGAAAGAAACAATGAAGGACATGACGTTGAAAGAGGGCTGGGATGAAAGTCTTAAGAGACTGAGGAGGAGCAGACAGTCCTGCTTTTGTAACAGGTTGTGGGGAGCAATTCTCCTCAGGTTAGACTGCCACATCACTGACATCCACCCTCTGTTGGTGACTTTGGCCCAGAAGGACTTCACCAGGTATTCACGAGCAGAGCCAAGACACCTTCATGGAGCTTTACAAACTTAGGGCAGAAGAGAAAGAAAATAAAGGGGCCCCATAGTAGCTGAGAGGGCCAGGGAATACAGCAGTAAGCAAGCACTTTCTAAGGACTTCCATAACCAGTTATACGGGACTTTTCATTATAAATGGAGATTTTGACAGGTTAAATAGAAGTATGCAGAGCCTGAGTAATGCTGGTTATCCTATTACTATGGTACTCTTTTCCCCTTTGCTAATGCAAGCCAAGAAATAAATTATATATATATATATATATATATATATATTATGTGCATTCATGGAGTGAAGAGAGAGTTTGAAAGAGAAAAGAAGAAATGCAGAAAGGAAAATGACTCATTGACAGAACAGGTGTGCCAGCTGAGACACAGGACAAAATGGAGTGAAGCCCTAGATCTTACTGTGGTATACCTGGCCATTTATAGCTCAGGAAAACATGGTGGGACAAAACCTCACTATGCTAGGCCAATCAGTGGGCTCCCAGGAGTAGGTGAGACCCTATATGATGTCAGTGGGGGCAGGACTATGAAGAGGTAGGACCTTGAATGTTCGCTGGTATTTTCTCGAACATCCTTTGCCAAAAGTTTTGAATATCAATGCCTATCTATTCTCTGGGATATTTGTCCTGGGAAGGAAATATCGTATGGGGCTGGTATCTGTATGTATACATACATGTGTGCATGTATATTTATGTACATAGGTAGACCAAGAGCAAATAAAAAATCTTTTAAAATACCTGTTCTGTGTATGACAAAATATTGATGATATACTTGGTAAGACCAGAGAAGAACTAAAAAAAAGAATAACTAAAGCAATTAAATATTTGAATAGAACTTCAAGATAGCAATGAAGGAGGTGTTACAGAAGACATAGACAAAAAAAATATTTTTTGAGAACTTTCCAGATTTCATCACTGGTTCACATATATCATTTCTTCTGATTCTGTGAGAACACTGTGAGGTGGATAGAGTATCACAGTCCCATATTATAGATGAGCAAACACATTGGGAGGGTAAAGGGATGGTTGAGAGTAAGTGGCAGGTGGAGAACTGAACCTAGGTTTGTAGAATCAAAATCTCTTGCTCTTGTGCTATTGCACTAATAAGCAGTGACATTTTCTACCTTATCTCTCATTTTATCTTTTTTATATAAAACATTTTATATCTTATATACATTATATATTTTAGATATCACCATTCTATCAAAAAATCTGGGTGTTATTCTCATAGGAATAGAAAGCCCACTTTTCCTGAGAATGGCATTTATTGATGCATAGCCTGTTTCTCTGTGATTTCCAATAAAGCTTACGGACATAAAGTTTTTCAAGAATATTACTGGGAATAAGTTTAAGGTGATATTTTAGTTGTTATTCTGAACACCTTGTGTCCACTTTGACTTTGTGTCCCACTGATGACAGCTACCACTTCCCTTGGAAGTTTAGAAGACACCTGACTCCCTGGTGTAGAGGCGGGGGGCACTTCTGGAAGGTGGTGGAAGAAAACTTTTAAAAAAGCTTGGGTGGTGCTCGCTTTGACAGCACATTAACTGCAGATGATGCAGAGAAGATTAGTGTGGCCCCTGCACAAGGATGACACGTAAATTCGTGAAGCATTCCATATTAAAAAAAAAAAGAAAGAAAGAAAGCTTGGGTGGCTGTGCTGGGCATGGAGATGCAAGGGAGGATTTGTTGCCCTCGGTTCTGGGAATGATGTCAATAGACAGCCTCCAGCCCTTAGCCCCTTTGGGAGTTGCCTCACCAGCGGGCACACATTCCAGGGGATTGCCCACTTCCAATGACCGATCAAGGCAGAGGGTAAAAGTGCAGCTATTTGGGCCCATTCAGGCCAACTCTAAGGGGTTATTTGCTCCAGCATTCCCTGTGGAGTTGACTGAAGCTGCTGGACCTGCATTGCAGCCAGTCTTTTCCCTGTGCCCACTCCTGCTTCCTTTCTCTCCCTTCCAGAGATGTGGATCCCAGAGGCGTTCCCTGTTTAACACCCTGAATCCTAAACTCTTTCTCAGAGCCTACATCTTAGAGAACTTGAACTGTAACAATTCAATTTATCTGTACTTTCTTTTGGAGCAGGGGTAGGTAATTTTCTATAAAGGGCCAGATAGTAAATATTTCAGCCCTTGCAGTCCAACCCTGGCTTTGTAGTGTGAAAACAGCCATAGATAATATGTGGATAAATGAGCATGGCTGTGTTCCAATAAAACTTTATTTACAAAAAGAAGCGCTTGGCTGGATTTGGCCTGTGGATGTAGTTTGCCAGAGAATTACTGATTACTGAGAATTACTGATTCATTTCAGATGATTGGAGAATTCTGGCGAATTCCTGATTAATTTCTTCATGCCCAATATTGCCTAAGTTACAAAGCAGCTCATTATTGTGCATAGTGAGTGCTGAATGCAGGATAAAGCAGTAAGATACACTCTTAACAGAGCTAACAGCCCACAAATACAGTTTCAACATAAGACAGATTTATGATCTAATGCTAGAAGGTACTTTTAGAGGTTATCTTCTGTCTAGGCAGAGCTGTTCCCCTTTAGCCTGGTTCATTAGCAACTTGGCATCCCCTTCTCCGGATCCATGCAGATGGAGAAAGAAGACTCCCAAAGGGAAGAGTGAGGGAAGGAAAGGGCCAAGGCCTCTGCCAGCACTTTTTTTTTTTTTTTAAGATTTTATTTATTTATTTGACAGAGAGAGACAGCAAGAGCAGGAACACAAGCAGGGGGAGTGGGAGAGGGAGAAGCAGGTTTCCTGCCAAGCAGGGAGCCCGATGTGGGGCTCGATCCCAGGACCCTGGGATCATGACCTGAGCCGAAGGCAGACGCTTAACGACTGAGCCACCCAGGTGCCCGCTCTGCCAGCACTTTTGCATATGTTATTTCTCTTCTTTCACACAAACTGTGTGTATTTATGTCCCCATTTTGCATAGAAAGTGATTGCCTCAGAGAAGGTAAGGAGGCTGCTCTGCAGAGCTTGTAAACATTGGAACTGATTTTAAACCCAGGTATGTGGGACTCAAGAGACCGTGCCCTTTCCAGTCCTCCAGGCTGACCTGTCAGCTTGGCCTTGGATTGGAGATAGTTCTTTAAACCTGATCATTTCTGCCTGAGAGGGCTTGGCACAAAGAGCTGGATCCTAGACCAGCTTTCATGGCTCTGTTCCTGGGTTTCATTGGAGGCTGAGTTTCCACATTTTTGCCATTAGCCAGGTCTGGGCCATGGCATCTGATGAGTTGAAGCTGTTGGATGCCTGGGACCAGCTGGTTGGTGCTGGCTTTGAAGTTCACTTTCAATCCTTGCAGGTATGAGCATGGTGGGGGCCCTGCACCAAGTCCTATCACCTTCCTTCTGTCAGGCAACTGTCATCACCCCACAGAGCTTTTATTCACAGCCTGTTGTCAGGAAGCTGGCCAATTCCTTGGGAAGGTGAGAGAGGAAATTAGGAGGCTGGGGGCTGGGAGGAATCATGCTATCGTTATGCTCTTACCTTAGGGCTGATGGAAATAACACTGCTCTGGCACCTGGAGAGCTGGCTGGAGCCCAGGCTCTGCTGCACGTAAGCAGCGTGGTCCTGGGTGAGTCCTGTAATGTCTTTGAACTGCTCTTCTCACCCGTGTAAGAAGGATAAATATTCTAGCTTGCCTACCTACTGCATGGTGCAGTTGTAAGGATCAACTTGAGTGACACATGAGAGAAAGCAGCTGGAGAAGAAGCCAAGGGCAAAGTCCAGTGGTTCTCACACGTCAGTGTACGTTAGAACCATCTGAAGGGCTTGTTAAAACAAGAGTCCTGGGGCTACTCTCAGAGTTTCTAACTCAGTAGACCTGTGGTGGGGCCTGGGACTTTGCATTTCTAACAGGTTCCTTACTCATCCTCCAAGACCTTTTTCAAGTTTTTTTTTCCATGAAACCTTTCTTTGGTAGCGCAGGTCTGGCTGGTCTCACCTCTGAACTTTGAAACTGGGCTGTCCCATGGTTTGTACTCCTGTGTAATGGCACCCATGATGAGCACAGTGGTGGCTGCCTGGAGTGCTCTCTTGGGCAGGTTGCTGGAGCCACATCCTGGCTCAGGGCAGAGTGCTGGCACTTATTCACTTAGGTGTGGACAGGGAGGTGGCGGTGTGCATAATAGATATTTGTCATCCCTGACTTAAGAGACTCTACTGTATTTTCTGTGTGCTAGGCTTGTCTTTACAATTAAATTATACACTTCTTGATGACAGATACAATGTCTTTTACTGCTGTCTCTTCTGTGGTACTTGGCTTAGAACAAATCACCCTGAGCTCTGAGTTCCCTGAGCACAGGGCCATCTGTGTCCTGTTCGTTTTGACTTCGGAAAACTAGCACAGTGCTGCTAGGCCATGGCAGTGGCTGCAAATATTCTTTGCTCAGTCAAATAATACTTTTCGAATACTGGAAGAATATTTCTCAAGTTTTTGTTCTGGTCACAAATCTAACAACTACAGACATGAAGCACTTTCAACTTAATCTACGTTATTGACACGCTCTGCACTATTTCCTTAAGCCTAGGCAATCAAGAAACCAGTAAGTCAAGCCTTGATTTGCAGTGTTTGTCCATTTTTGTGGTGAAGGTACTTCTGCCCTGTTAATTTCAAGCTCCCAGGTTGATACCACTGAATACAGAGCTGGGAAGAGGTGCACAGCAGCATCCTTCTCTACAGTTTTTCCACCATGCACATACAGTAGATGGAAATAAACTCAAAGCACAAGTGACTGTAAACTTATTAGGAAGTGATGGGTTTTGAGTATTTATTACCTTTTACAAATATTATTGACTTGTTCATAAGTTTGCATGATTTAATTATTAATAATGGCCGTGTTTAACACCTGGTTTGTACAATTCCTGAAGCTTTAACAACTGGTTCGCATGAAGTTTTCTTTAGCACACCACTGGATGAATTGGTATAGATCTGCAGAAGTTAGAATTTTTTTTAGTTGCAGGTCATAAAATCTTAACCTAAATTGCCAAGAGAGATAATTTTGCCTTACAAAATTTAAAGCGTACAGAAGGGTAAGGTTGGTCTGGCGTCAGGCCAGGTGTCATTAGGAACTATTCTCTCTTTCTGTCCTCTGTGTGGTGTCAAGATGCTTGCCTACAGCTCAGGCCTCATTGTCCAAGGTTTCAGTCATCCAGAGGAGCAAGGACTTGGCCCATTGGCTCTGATTATGTTCTGTGTTTGGCTCTGAACCAAGCACCGGAGTGGGGGAAGTGTGAGGCTCTCTGCCACAGTCTGATTTATCTCCCTTCACCATCAGTTCATATGTTGAAACTTTAACCTCTAGTATGATGGTATTTGGAGATAGGGGCCTTTGGGAGGTAGTTAAATTTAGATGTGGCCACGAGGATAGGGTCCTCACGATGAGATTAGTGCCTTTATAAGAAGAGACCAGAGAGCTTCCTCCTTCTGCCATCTAAAGATGTAATGAGAAGGCAGCCATCTGCAAGCCACGAGGAGAGGCCTCATGGGGAACCAAACTGATTGGCATCTTGATCTCGGGCTTCCCAGCCTCCAGACTGTAAGAAATAAGTTCTCATTGCTTAAGCCACTCCATCTATGGTATTTTGTTATGGAACCCCAGACCGACTAAGACTCTCCTTCTCCAGGCTCGCCCTGGCAGTTTCACCCAAGCATGTGGACTGAGAGTGGAGAGGGGTTTCCTCATAGGAAATTCCAGGTATCATTACTGGAAGGGTGGTTGGAAGCAGACAGCAAAGCAAACATCCATTGTAAGCTCTCCCTCCCTCTGGACAGAAGGAATAGTTTCTTGGCTCAGAGGGTGCAGGTGTCAGGGAAGCCTTTCTGGAAAAATGATTGGATCACTCCTTTTGTGTACAAGTGGGAAAAATGGGAAAGGAAAGAACGGACACCTGAGGCGGAGCCACAGTCCAAGCAGCTCCATGATTTGTGGGCTTGCTTTTTTTTTTTTTTTTAAAGATTTTATTTATTTATTT